AGCCTGGGATTCCTTCACTTCATGCGTTATAAAGGAACATCTAGCTGCCTGTCAGAATCTCCAGGGGAGCGTCACAGTCACAGTGTTGGACCCCAGCTGCAGAGGTTGACTTAGCACCTGGGAGTTAACACTTTAAGCAGTACATGCTTCTTACATGTCTAGCAGACATAGACATGACTGGTGTCCAGGCCTTCTGACAGTCCCCTTCTCCTGCAGCCCATCCCTCAGTGTCAGTATGGTCCTCTGAGAGCCCAAGCCACCCCAGAACCTCTCCGGCATCACCCTGGTGAATCCCAGTGCCTCATCAGTTGTAAGACCTCCTGGAGCATCTCCATTGGCACTTTACCCTCTTCTCTTGGATGTATCCTCTACTTTCAGTCTGCTTAGTTTTCAGAATATGTTACTTGTTTATGTATTTGATTCTTTCAGAGTATTTAGATGTCTCATTTGCATTTCTTCTGTCAGTCAACGAAGGGACCTTTGGTCAGTTTCTCTAATTTTTAGTCTCTGAAATAAGACCTTTCTGCCTACATTTCTGCTCGGCATATTTTGTTCTTGAGTAAAAGTTCAAAGGTTCTTTTTTAAAAAAAGATTTTAATATGTATGATTGTATTGCCTGCATGTATGTAAGTCCACCTGTGTCATGCAGTGCCTGTGGAGGTCAGAAGAGGGTGTTGGATTCCCTGGAACTGGAGTTACAGACAGTTGTTAGCTGCCATGTGGGTGCTGGGAACTGAACCTGGGTCCTTTAAAGAACAGCCAGTGCCCTTAAACACTGAGCGAGATGTCTGCACTGTCGAATGGTGTCCTGTCCCCCTCCTGTCCTGTCCTGCTGCACCTGACTTCTTCTCTTACCTTGTACTAATCCTGCTGTAGAGCTCTTGGTTTCCCTCATACCCCTAATTGTTCAAGATCAGGATATTGACAGAATTCTGGCATCTTCTGCCCCCCCCCCCAGTGTGTGTGCTCTATACTTGGACTCAGTGTAACTTAAGTGAACAGAGATTCAACCTAACTTTAAAATACTTTCTTTAAGCATTTGAGTTAATGGTAATATGGAGACTTTGTTTGTTAATAATTTGAAGGTTATAGAAGATACATAAAGATTCAGCACCCATGATACTCCTTTACTGTTTCAGCTCTCTAGCATGTTATAGGTTCAAGCTGTGCGAGGTCTGTTACTAATGGTATATCTTCAGGGCACTGCTGGGCTATAGTAAGGCCTTTTCAGTGAAAAAGAAAACATGTCAAATATATAGGATATTTGAGTCTCATTGGAAGCACTAAGGAAATACTGCAAATAAATGCAGGAAAATGAATACATGTAAAGATATGGAGAATTCCAAGAAACAAGTTGAGCTTCCCAGGAAATGCACAGTCCTTTTAGAAAAGGGCTACATCCCAGACTTCTGTTGTCAGAAGCTGCATGTTAACTACGCTCAGTGGTTTTTGTTGATGTTCTCATTAAAGCTGGAGAATCACTAATCTAGTTCACTCTCTCCCCTTCGGTGTTCATAGATGAAGGAAATGGAGGAAGAATATGCCCCAAGTTCCTGTGCCCCATAGCAGGGCCGGTGCTAGCGCTCAGCCAGCATCACTGGCTGTGTTCTGCGTACTTCTCGTCCTTTCCTGTGGTCCTCCATCTTTTCCGTTGGCTTCCCTTAGTGTTAGTCTTCAACTTCTCACTCCTGTCTTCCTCTGCCTCTCCTGATAGTCCTCCCTAGATGTCTCCATTGAATGAGAGATGGTGTACAACCACACTGTACATTGAAAGGAGAGGGCAAACTGGGCACATTGTAGTCCTACCTACTTGGGAGGCTGTGGTGGGGCCCCTTGGGCTCACTTGTTTAAGCACAGCCTGGAAAACAATGAGACCTCTACCTCTACCTCTACCTCAGAAAAATAAAGGAGTAATTTATCTACTCTTAACTTCTGGCAAAATTTTTGAAACTGTTTTGATTTTTGTGTGTAAATGCGTGTGCATGCGCACGTATGTGCATGCGTGTGTGTGTGTGTGTGTGCATGTGTGTGTGTGTACATGCACTTGTGTGCATGTGGAGGCCAGAAGTTGACACTGGATGTCTTCTCAGTTGCTTTCCACCTCATGTTTTGATGCAGAGTCTCTCATTAAACCTGGAGCTCACTGACTCAGTCAAAATGACTAACCAGTCCCTGGGACCCTCCTGACTGCACCTCTCTAGCGCTGAGATGACAGGGGCTGGCCTTACATGTGTTCCAGGAATCAAACGCAGGTCCTCATGTTTGCACAGCAAGCACTTTACTGACTGAACTTTCTCTCCAGCTCCTGAACCTGTTCTAATTTTTTTCTCCTCTTTGCTTGGAACTTTCTTTGAAGTCAGTAGGATAAATTAAGGGTTGAGAAGTAATCCAGGATGTTAGACTTTCAGACCTCTCTACAGATAAATTTATTGTCCTTTCTTTGCCGTATGGGTTCCCATCAACAGTGCCTTGCTGTTTGCCTCAATCTAATGGGTCAGTATTCACCCTAGCCTTTGTGGAGAAGAGCAGAATCCTACAGCAAGTCCTCCGTGACCTGGAATGAGGCTTCGGGCTTCGGGAGTTTGCATCAACAAAGAACGAAGTGGATAAGCAGCCTGTGTTTTTTACGTGGGGCATTTGACAGAGAAGATATAGTTGGATGTAGGAGGATAATTATCGTAGATGATAACACGTCTTCTAGACTGCAAACAGTCACTGATGACAGCTACCGTGACCTTTGATAAAAGTTAGCACAACTCAGCATCTTTTAAGTCTCTTCTTCCTTTGGAGTTTACTATGTCTTCTGTTTCTTCAGATATTTTAGTGTAAGTCTGGAATGTATTTGATTTGAGCAGTATGACCATAGCTACCATAAACAGTAGATATCCTTTATAAGTTAAGAAGTGAAATGAGTCCTTGTTCTCCTTGTTCCTATGTGTGTTTTTCTTAAAATAATTATCTCCATACCCCATTTCTTTTTTGAGACAGGATGTCTCTTATAATTTGGTAGACTGACCTCAAACTCATTCCTTCTGCCTTGAGCCTCCCAAATGCCAGACACTCCCACGGCCCGCTCTCCACATTATCACCTTCTTAACAACTAATCTCACTGAAACCATAGGAGTTATGATACTTCCTGACTTGGAAGATGATTTCATGAAACCTTATGTTTTACGCCTTGTATCTTATTTCCCAGTGGCGGTATATAGAAATGATCAGTGTGTTTTTGCATGTATATATGCGTGTGTGTGTGTGTGTGAATATACATGTA